AGGGCCAGGAAGGCCTGCGACCCACGCCGCCCTCAGGGCACTGTCCCCCACCGGCCTGAGCTCCCGCCCGGCCCGGCCCCCTCTGGCCGACCCGCGGCCTCACCTCCCTCTGAAGCGTCTCCATCTGCTCCAGGTACTCCCGATGCTCCTGCCTACGGCGCGCTAGCTCCTTCCTCGCCAGGAACTGCCGCAGGGCGCACTGGATGACAGTGGCTGCTTGGCCCTCTGCAGCCGACCCTGGGAGGTGGAGGGGGTCATGGCTCCCAGTGCCCCTGCAAGCTGCCGCCGTGCAACCAGCACGGTCTCGGCGCACGAGCCAGTGGGCCAGGGGGCTCCCTCCCGACAGGACAAAAGGGCAAAACGTTCTAAAGCAGGTCCCCAACCTCCGGTCCCCAACCTCCGGGCAAGTCGGCGGCCTGTTAGGAACTGGGCCACACAGCAGGAGGTGAGGGCTAACAGCAAAGCTTCGTCTACGTCTGCAGCCGCCCCCCAGCGCCCGCATCACCGCCTCCACTCCACCTCAGACCGGCAGGCACGGCAGGGAGCAAACGAGGCAGCGTGACGCGGGTGGCCAAGAGCAGGGGATCCGGGACTCCGCAGGAAGTGTCCCACCGTCCCCACCGCAGACACAGCTGCGACCCTGCCAACCCCTTGGAGCCCCGTTTGGGATGACGGGCTGCAAACATTGGTAGGAAACCGAGGAAGGCTGAGAAAAATGGCCCCAGGCAGAGAGAGACAAGGCTGTGTGCCCCCCAAGACCCCTCCGCTGAAGCCGGGAGGACCGCCCCCCTGCACCCGGGCACCCGCATCCAGAGCTGGCCGACTGAACTGAAGCTGGGGTCCCGCCACGAGCCCAGGGTCCTGCGAGGCAGGCTCCACAGCACAGCCGCCCCCTGCTGCAGCCGCAGCCCCCGCAGCCCCGGCTTCCGGGGAGGTGGGCGGGGCCGCCGCGCCCTGGAACACGGTCCACACCGGCCACACCTGCCGCCCTTGGCCCCTCTGGGCCTCAGCATCCCCTCCTCTGACCTGCAGCTACACCCACAGGGCTCCCGACAGCCCACGACAGAGCAACCCGCGGTCCCCAGAGTTAGAAACCGCTGAACATGTGCTCCAGTAACGGAGACTGGGGGCCTCCGCGCCGAGGGGCGCCTTCCCGGAGCCACGCCCGACGTGGGAAGGCGGGGCAGGGGGAGCACGCGGCACACCGACGTGCAGAGCCCCACAAACACCAAAACCCAGTCCAAAGGAGGGACCAAAGAGAAGCCGGATCCCGCAGCGGCGTGGGGGGAAGGACAGAACCTCGGACGTGGGACAGTGGGGCAGCACCCCGTGGACCGCGGCCGGCAGAAGCTGCCGCTCGCAGCAAGCGTGGCCGGAAGCACAGCTCACCGCAGGAAAGACGGGCTGGGGAGGATGGCAGTAAGAACGGATGGGCCAAGCAGAAATGCATTCCGAAGAGGAGGAGACAGAACGGTCAAGGCCACAAACACAAGAGTCACCAACATCTAGAGGGCGGGATCGCAGGTGGGGGACACGCGGGGCTAAAATGCAGACAAAGTTCCTGAAATGAATCTTAAGACAGAAAGAATGAAAAATACACCAGGAAACAACAGGCGCCAGGCACGTCCAGTTAGGCTGTTGAACCTAAAAAACAGTTACTCCGGCCCCCAAGGGAAAAGGGGGTCAAACGGAGCTCTCCCACGCTGGCTCACAGCGCCATGAACTGTCAGAAGTCAGCGAGTCAGTGTCTGCGCATTCTAAGGGGAAAAGGGAGCCCAAGACTCGAGGCCCAGCCCAGCCCAGCCTTCCCAGTGACCGCAGTGACACCTGCGTCGGAGGCACTGCCGACGCCCGAAGCGAAGGAGGAGTCGTCGGCTCAGAAGACCACAGCAGCCCGTCCGAGCCCAGGCAGGTGGGCAGCGCCCGGCAGCCAGCGCCCAGGCCAGAAGCCATTGTCCCCGTGGGTGAGGCAGCTGAGCAGGGCTTTGGGGAGACGGCAGCCCCAAGGGGACGAAACCTGTACAGGGGGACCTCGGAGTATTGTGGGTTCCATTCCAGACACCACAGTAAAAAGCGAGCTTCACAATTAAGCGAGAAGTGCCCTTTTTGCTGGGGGAGGCTCTGGTCTTCCGTTAGCAAAACCCGCAACACTTGCCGAGCCGTGCAGCGGGGCGCTTGGCAAGGCTGTGGGTTTGAGGTTGCCAGAGTCAGCTAACGAAAACATGGGTCGCAACTCTGGGGACATACACTGAAAAACGATTCACTGTTGATCTGAAATTCAAATTTAAATGAGCGTCCAGGATTTTATCCGGCGACCCTACTGGGCGGAATCTCAAAAACTCAGTCCTTGGGAAAAGCGAGCAACCATGGCGGTGACGGAAGCCTCCGCCCCGGCCCCCAGCGGGCACGGGAGGGCAGATTCCCCGGCCGCATTGGTGACACACATGCGTGACTTGGCAAGCTATCACAATTCCAGGGCTGGCGACTCCAGAGAAGTTCTGACAACCCAGCTGTCTGCAGCAGCCACCCTCCGACCTGCTCACCTGCGCATCGCCTTTAAAAACGCAAAGCTGTGCACCTCCTCGCCCCTTTAAAGTCGACCCTAAAAATTCTTCGTAGCAACTTTGAATAGTTGCAAAGGATCACACCTCTGGCATGCCATTTTTTTTTTCCTCCCGCCACCCCCTTGATGACATTTCAAAACAAAACTTCCTTTACCAATGGGACATAAATGCCCTGACTCTTTGCTACCCGTCATCACCCTGTAAACATACACCAACAAGTCACCCTTTCACAGCCAGGAATGATAATTGTGGTTTTCTCCTGAGATGTCACATCTAGCCCACTCTCTGGTGATTTCTAGCCCAATATGGTTTATGCTTTTTATTGATAACGCTAGAATATTTCTCTGCAAAAAAAACAACAACATTATAGTTGCAATTAATTTCTTTTGGAAATGCAGTTGTTAAAAATTCCCCCATAATGACCAGGCTCTACATTTTAAAACATTCCTCTGGACCGAGCTCCATCACTGTTACTGTTAGCATACAGCTGTTCGAAATGGCAACTATGTCACAAAATGTGGATGTCCAGTCATTGAACAGAAACATAAAAGTTTGCATCTAACAAGTCCCCAGATTCCCTGGACCCCCTCTGCGGCTGCCCCAGGGACTGACGCCACCCGAGGCCACCATACGGTCCCCTGGGGGCTCACAAAGGGACCGATGACCTGCAGATGGGGCGGTGTAAATGCTGGGGGGCTCTGCCCGGCGGGCCTCGCCCTTGCCCCACACTGCTCCCCGCCTTCCTCTGCCGTCTCTCTCCCGGGCTGACCCCTGTCAATTAGGCCTTCTTCAGGCTCTCTGGGGAAACGGAGCCACGGCTGTAGTGCCCAACGCGGTCTCAGGAGGCGTGAGAGAGAGTGTGGCCTTGTGACGGCCGCCTCTCTGAGGGCTGGATCGCTACCCGGGGTAAGCAGGGGTGCTCCCCGGCCTCTCTGTGCTGGCGTCAGCTCGCCCCTCCCCCCCGCTGCACAGCCCCAGTTCCCTGCCATCTGTCTCCATTAGTCCTGCCAACGGGAGGAGACACCTGCCCTGTCCCCATCGGTACCGCCCGGTCCAAGAAGCTAGCTCCAAGAGCAGTTGGCCCCACTGGCCACCTCCCCCCTGAGCCTCAAGGTCAGGCCCCTCGGTGCCCTCTCAGAGGCCACAGAGACAGCGGGCGAAGTCCCAGCTCTTGGGGCCCTGTGCCGAGCTGCCGAGACAGGAGCAGCGAGCTCCCCTCAGATGCCCGCCCCTCCCAGCAGCCCCGCGGCCTGTCTCCCCATCCCCCGGGAGACGGCCGTGTCTGCAACGACCTGGGACGCCTGTGCGTTCCCATCTTGCTCTTTAGACGTCCGACAGCTGCTCACCTGCGCCCCGCGCTGAGGCCTGTCCCCACAGCGCTCTGCCAGGCACGGGGCCCGGTGCCGGGAACCAGACCCCGGAAGATGCAGCTGGGCGACTGGCTTGGCCACGTTCTGGTCCTTGAATGTGGCGCCGACGGGAAGTGAGGCGCTGGTGAGCCACGGCGATGGCTCAGGATGGAGCCGTGGAGTGGAGCCCGGGACCTTCGCGAAGGACCGTGTGGCCCAGCCGCCCAAAGGACCCTGTCCGCCCACCGGGCCGCTCACTCTGCAGCACCGCCTGGCGGTCACTTCCCCGGCACTCAGGTGCGTACGTGGAAACGGTGCCCTGACATGCCCACAACCCACACTCAGCTGCCACCCAGCCCTGTCCTGGGTGTCCTCAAACTGCACAGCGCATCCAAACGCAAACCTGCCATCGCTCTGTCCTCTAGTGTCTCCTGGTGACAGCCCCAGAGAGAGTCCACTGCAGAGGAGGCGTCAGACGCCCAGGCGGACATCACGACTGTCCCGTGGACGCCGGCCAGCCTCCTTCCTCGGCCTCCCTGCCTTGTGCAAAGGCCCGTGAACAGAATGGCTGTGGTGGCAGGGATGGTGCTGACACATGAGCCCCTCTTCTCAAGGCCGCCCTAGACCTTCCTGCCCAAAAACACTCCAGCTGGTGACGTGGACAGACTGTCAGAAGCGGGCAGTGGCCAGGGGGCTGGGGAGGTGCTCTCTGGGTGGACTTCTTGGAACTGGCCCAGAGTGTGCAAACAGCTGTCCGAGCCGAGCTGACCAGGCGTCCCCAGGGCCGGAGGGCTCTGCGTTGGCCTGCGGTGCAGGCCACGCGCTCCCCGAGCAGAACAGTCCTGACGCCTCCCTTGTGAAGGGGACACTGCCTACTCCGGCTGCTGACCCGGGGCTTCCCCGGGTCGGCCGCTCAGGCCCAGCTTTGTTCAGAACTGCCCGTCCTCGCGCCAGCTTCCTCTGACCCCTCGCACTGGAAAGACACAATGCAGCCGGGCCACCTGGGTCACTGCGCATCCCACACAGTGGCTGGCCTCAGGGAAGGGCCTGCCGGCCCACCGAAGGCTCGGGCTCCTGCCTCGCGAGGCCAGCAGCCATTCTGGAGAACTTGGTGGGAGCCCGCGCCCCACGACAGAAACCAGAACGAGAAGGGGGGACGCCTGCCCTTCGTTCCCTGACAATCAGAGTGCCACCTCAGTGCAGGCTTGGCTTCTCTCCAGTCCGGATCTTGAGGAAGCAACACCAGGATACAAGGAGCAATGAGACGCGACTCTCGACGGAGCTGCAGAGCACGGCGGTGCTGGCCTCTGGTGACAGGGGACGTCTGACAGCCCTTCCGCGGGGCCCGACCGGCCTGTGCTGCGCTTCCTCTCCTTTCTTCCCCCTTCAAGCCCAGATCCCCGGTTCCTGCACACCCTTCCTGCAGACCCCACTCCTGCTGGAACTGTGTGGGGCACGACATCAGCCCCTGAGCCTGTGCAGAACCAACCGTCAGAATGTCACAGACCGCCCTGGGACAAGGTCGGGCTCCTTATCCTCGAGGGGCAGAGGTGACAGGCGGTGCTGGGGGTTTATCCGGGGGTCAGGATGACGCCAGAAGCGTCGGACCTGCACATGAACTTGAGCCCGCCTGCCCTGTGGAGAACAGAGTGAACAGCAGGGGCCCGGGGTGGGGGGCGGTTCAGAGCAGGCTGGGCCAGGCGGTGAGAAGTCGGGGCACCCGGGCAGACGGGGCGCAGGCGGGTGGAGAACCCAAGAACCCCAGCCCCCTGCAGGGTGGGGCTTGGACTCAAGGTCACTGGGTGCAGTCAGGGAAACCCGGCACTGGAGGACAGGGGATGGCAGGTTTGCGTTTGGATGCGCCGTGGAGTTTGAGGACCCCCAGGAGACGGCTGGGTGGCGCTGAGTCTGGGTCTGGGGCACAGGAAGAAGGTTCGGGTAAAGAACAGCTCTGGAGGCCAGCGCGAAAGGCCGCAGCGGAAGCTAGTGGAGAAGGCAGAGGCCCGGCACGGAGCAGGGGCGGGGCCGCTGCGGACCGGCCTGCCCGGAGGAGGTTGGCTCTGGCCACTGGAGGGCGACAGCACGCAGAGTCCACAACCAGGCGGCTTCC